GTTCATTAAAACTAATAAAATTTAATAATAATAATAATAATAAAAAGCAGCTCAAGAGCACCCAACAATAAGAAAACAGTGCTGGTAACAGGTCTAAGTGAGACCAGGGTCAGGAATGAGGGTTCATCACTGTCATAGGGTTCAAGTCCCCAAGCACAGCCTGGACACCCAGACCCAATGAATATGCACCAGCAGCTGTATGGGTCCAGAGAAGGGAGTGAGACAGTGTAGTCAGAGAACACACTGTGTCGAACCCAACCTGCCAGCAGTAGTAACTCCACACACATAACATAAACCTGCCAGTGAAACCTCAATACAGCACCCAGTATAAAATGCACCCCAATTCAGATATGAACCTCTATTCCCAAAAACTTCTTAAGATTTGAGGGATAAATTGGGTAGGGAGGACTGTCTAGTGTCTTGACACAAAGTGTCCCCCACTTAGTCAGCTAGAGCAGCCTGAGGTGTCCCACACACACACACTTCCCACCCAGGTCCAGCAGCAGGCAGGGCTACTCACTCGCTGCAGGAGACACATTCATTTTCCTTTAGGTAGAAGCCTGCATGGCAGGTGCATACAGTGTCCTGCCTCTCCTGGCCTGTGGGGAGAAACACAACATGGCTAAAGGACGGAGGAAGAGTGAGAAGGAGCAGGGGGTGCAGGGTCAGAGTGGAATGGGGCTCAAACTTAGGAACCACTGGGGTGAGAAGAACAGAAGTGCTTCCTGATGAGGGAGAAGATGCAGAAAGATGAAGCCCTTCCTCCTGAGGGACAAGGCTAACCCCGGGGGCAGGGAGAAGGCTTGGGGATGGGAGACTCATGCTCACAGGGGATATTCACAGTGCCATTGAGGCAGAGGCTGCAGTTACGGCACTTGAAGTGGAAGGAACTCCAATAAAGTCGATACTGGTTCTTCCTGCAGCCACACACAGTGTCCGTGGACACCGTGCAAGGAGAAATCTCCACCTGGTGCATTTCTAGTGGGGAGAAAAAGAGACTTGTGAGTCCTATCCATACTAATTCTGCCTGTCCCTTCCCTGTACTCTTTCTGACCCCCGTGTTGCTCTAACACATGTTCACACTCTTGCACATTCACACATGCACAGACATTCCGGCTCACACCCACCAGCATGTCCGCACACACAGACATGTGTGCATCCCCGTTAACAGCCTCCTGGCTCTCCACACACATTTACACACATTTACTCCCTTTACGATCCTCTCCCTTTCCTAAGACACACCTTTCCGGCAAATGGAGCAGCTGAAGCACTGTCTGACGAAGTTCTCTGTAGCAGTGTACGTGCCATTTTCACACTCCCTACAGTCAGTTTCCACCCCTGGCTTTGGGCAGTCATTGTAGAGGTAGGTCCCTGTGGTTGGGCATCAGAGTCAGGCTCAGTGCTCAAGGAAGAGCTCCTTGGTAGGCACATGGCTTGGACCACTTCTCTGACGTTGAGAAGTCAAAGCCCAGGAAAGAGAGCAAAGAAAGGGATTTGCAGGAAGGGACACTAAGTTTGAGACTATCTGGGAAAAGCAAAGGAAGAAGCAGGGCCCCCTACTTGAAGGGATTTGTAACTACAACTTTCTCCTACCTTTATGGCACTTGGAACAGCAAATGGAATTATTCTGAGGATGGCTGTATTTCCCCTGGGGACACACACTGTCTCTCTTCTCTCGGTCCCCAAGGTGGGGGACCAGTCCCATAACCCCAGAGGGATAGATTCCTACCACCAACACAGCGAGGAGCACCTGAAAAAAAAATCAGATTGGCCATTAGGAGCAGCAAGGGAGTTAGTCTCTAAGACTTCAAAGAGGCAAGATGAAACCTTCCCAGCTCAAGGCCCCCCAGATCAGTGGAACACTCACCCCAGACTTCTCTCGCTCACAAGCAACATTCTTCAGCTATTCCTAGACAACTGACACACACTGCACAATCTAGCACTTAATTATTCCCAATTACCCTGGGTGCTCATTTGTTTTGCATAATTTATTTGTTGTTGTTGATAATAAGCTCAACAGAACAAACACCAATTCAACGTACAATTCCGTGATAATGAGCACATTCTTTTAGCTGTGCAGCCCTAATGGAGGGATTCTGAGCCTCCTTTTCTGAGCTGTTCCTTCCCCACTGACAGGAACTCACTGCCCTCAAGGTTCCAGTCTAATCTTTTGAGTTGCTGCTGTCAGTTTGAATTCATATAAAAAGATCTTTTCAAAGTACAATGCTTAAAATTGCTTTAATGGTTAAATGAAACTATTGTTCAAGGGATTACTTTTGGTTTAAGATTTAGAAATTAACTCAGAGCAATAGTTTCAGAGGTTCATCCTGATTCTATGGCATCAGGAAGTCTGGATCTCATGAGAATTTGTTATGTACTTTTTCCCTTTTGAGAAAAATATTCAGTAATGGTAGGTAGGTACTATCGAGTTCTTTTGGTATCACGGAAAAGGAGGTGGTTGTTCATGATTGCAACTGGTCACATATTCCACCTTCTCCTCTTATTCCCGACCTGCCTTGTTCCTGTTACTCCAGGTGAACAGAGATCAGTTGTTGCCTGTGCTAATTTTTGTACCTCCAACTCAGTGCTGGTAGGCTCCAGATCTGGACTCTGTTTGACCCTTATTCTGACTTCCCCAAAGCAGCTAACAGGGCTGATACATAGCAGATGCTCAAGAAGAAGAAGAAAAAAATCCTTTTTGGATAAGGACCTGGCAGGTCCCCTCAAAGATATATAGTCTTTCAGTCCAACAACACACTCAAACTCACTCTGAGATGGAGCTGATGCAATAGCTAACTCTCCAGTGGGTGTCCAAGGTTGTCAGTCACATGGGAGGAGACTGCCCATCTTTCTCCAGGAGAACCACTGGTGGATTTGAACCACTAGAGAGGCACCATGCTTGGGTTGGCAATGCAACTCCCTACAGATTAAGTCCCCAGTGTTTCCTTTCTTCCCAATAAGCAGCCCCAAAAATGGGATTGAGGAGAGAGGGCAGAGTGCAAGATTCACTGTTTGTTCATCTTGTAAAGACTCACTGAGGTGAACAATTAGGATTTATGTGCCTATCTGTGTCAGTAAAAAGTTTTCATTTTTTCTTTCAATCAGATTAGAAGCGAGTGATGTTCCTATGGGGATTATTCCTAGTGAGCGAACAGAAACAAAAGGAGAATTTGCTCAAGACTTTGCTCAAAACTCTGTCTCCACACTCCATTATTCATTCCCTTCCACTACGAAATTAATACAAACACAAAGGTTAGAAATAACACACAGGAAAAGGAGTCCAAGGGAGAGTTCGGGGGTCAGGGATAGAGAAGGTAAGTGTTATAGACTGAACTGTGTTCCCCTGAAAACAAAGTGTTGCTCTCCTAATCCTTATAACTATGGATGGAATCTAACTCACTGCAATGGAATTTACTCCCTTAATGCAACTGAATGTCATATAACCACAAGTTAAGGTCATGCCAGTGTTAGGTGGATCCTAAACCTAATCACTTCCAAGTTATATAAAGAACAGCATATGGACACATGCATGCATAACCAGAGTGAGGATAGCTGTCAGCTGACAGTGAAGGAGACAGGACTCCAAGGATTATCAGGACTAGACACTCTGGTGGCTCAGTGGTGAGGAATTATATTGCCAACACAAAGGTTATTGTGTTCTTGTGTGCCATCGAGTCAATTCCAACCCATAGCTGACCCTCCAGCAGGTTTTCAGAGGCAGTAACTGCACAGGAGGAGACTGCCCATCATTCTCTCACAGAGCAGCTGGTAGATCCTTACTGTGTGCCTTTGAGATTGCAGCACAGATTCTTACAACTAGGCCACACCAAAGCCCTTAAGGGTTCAAATCCAGCAGCTTCTCTGAGAGATGATAGGAGAATTGATGCCTTTGAGCTGTGGTACTGGAGAAGAGTATTGAATATATATCATGAACTGCTAGGACAGCAAATAGGTTTGTCCTGGAAAGTATGAGACCAGGTTGCTTCTTGAAGGCAAGGATTCTGAAGTTCCCTCTGACATATTCTGGGCATGTTGCAAGGAGGGACCAGTCCTTGGAGAGGGACACCATGCTTGGGGGAGTGGAGGGACAGTGCAGGAGAGGGAGACCCTCAGTGAGATGGATTACTCAGTGACTGGGGTAACAGGGTAGGTATGCCAAAAACAATGCGGGTGGCTCAGGATAGAGCAGGTCTCAGAGCTATTGTACATAGGGTCACTATGAGTTCCAAGTGACTCAACAGCACATAACAACAACAACAACAACGAACTCTGAGAAAGATTGGCAATCTCCTCCTGTGTGATTTACTACATCCAGATGGTCAGCTATGTGTTGGCTCTGACTCAGTGGTACACAACAACAGAAGCTGAAACAAAGAAAACCTCCTCTAGCTTCACACCTTGACCTTGGACTTTGAGCCTTCTTAAGGAAAGTGGCCAAGCGGGTAAAGAGTTGCACTACCCACCCAAAGTTAGGTGCCTTGAACCAGTCTCCACCTACGTGATTTACAGCCTCTGAAAACGTACTGGAGGGTCAGCTAGGAACTGGTTGTGACTGGACAGCAGTGAGTTGAACCTCTACTCTATCAACTGCCAGAAGAATGAAGAAATCAGTCTCAGAGGAAGTAAAGCCAGAATGTTCCTCTGAAGTAAGGATGCTAAGACTTATCTTGGTTACATGTTACCAGAAGAGACCAATCCCTAGGAAAGGATCATGCCAGTAAAGCTTAACATCAGTGAAAAATTAGGAGAATCCTTCATGAAATGGATTGACACAGTATCTGCAGCCATGAACTTGAATATACCAACAATCATGAATGTGTAAGGTGACTGTGAGTTGGAGCCAATTTGATGGTAAGTAACAACAGTTACCACCACTAACAAAAAGACACTTGAAACGTAAGGAAATAAATTTCTCTTCTTCCAAGCCACTCATTAGTGGTATCTCTGTTATAGCAGCACTGGGTGACTAAGACAATGGGTCCCAAAGGTGAGGACAGATGTGGGCACAGGTCAGATACAAAGTTGGGTGTAACAGGCAAGGCCAGCAGCCTTTCACACACCAGCACCTTCACAAAGGCAAGTTTTACAACCACAGACCATGCATGTAAGTAAGAATCACTTGTCCAGTTCTGGCTTCAATACCAGAAAACTAAAGTGAGGAGTCAGTATTTAGTTCCAACTTGGACTTCACTCCATGCTCTCTGACTAGCTTCTGCCTTTTCCTGGGACTTGAATATTCCCCCCCCCTCTCCTCCCACTGGAAAAGCTGTTATGTAAAGATAAGAGGAGGTTCATTAAGTATGTTAAACATTGAGAGTAACAAACTAATCAAGATCACAGAAACTCTGGCAGGGAAAAAAGGAGGGCTGGCAGGCCATAGCCCGCCCTGCAACCCACAGCCCTGCACCCTGAGCGGCCTCAAATTTTGGAGCAGGTCACACCCCCACTTACCCACCGGGAGATGCTGCAGTGGCACACCCCCACCCCGGAAGCCAGAGCCTCAGCCACAGGCAGGGGAAGCCACTCTTACACTCGGCGCACACACCCAGAAGGCAGCAGTGCTCCCTGGGCACCCCCTACACTGTGCCATCTCCCTAAAAACAGAACTGGGGCTGCCAGGCCAGCAGGAAGAGCTTGGGGTGATTATGGGAAGAACTTCCCAATCCTGAAAGTCCTGAAAGTTGTGGTTCCTTTCCCTGAAGACTTCTGAGCACCTAAGGTCACTTGCATGAGGACAGCCAGCAGGGGGCTGGATGCAAAGACAATCAACAGAGTCAGGAAGAAACAGGAGGCTCCAGTCCCCAGTCCCCAAAGACCTTCCAGCCTGGGGGGGGGGGGGCTCCAAGAAAGGGAGGTGGGAGTCTAGCTTTCTGGGGCCACGTGTTCCCCTCCCTCTGTAGCACTTGGAGGGTTAAGCCAGATCCGGGAAAGGGAAATCTTTTCCCAGCAGCCCCGCCCCTGTGACTCAGGCCAGAAAAAGGGAGGGGATAGAGGGGGAAGGAGAGGGAACCAACAGCTTCCCCAGCTACTCATGGGTCTTGAGTCAGCAGAAACACAGAAGGGACCAGCCAGAAATGGGGACCCCATCTGAGCCCTTCTTCTGTTGGCCCAGTCTCTCCCTCCCACCCTGTTCAGAGCCTCCTACCCCTTTTTCCCACCAAAAGAGACAAAAGATGGATCCCTGTGCCACTTGGTTCTCCATTTCAGGAAATAGTGTGTTCTCCCCCCATGCCATTCCAAAGGGAAGTCTCCCTCGACCCCTGGCTTCCTCTCAAGTCCCTACACACCCCTCCTACCCTTCCACTGGGCTCCCTCGGCCCCTTCCTTTAGACTGGGCCCCGCCCACCTTGTGTCTGCTCTACAAATCTTTCTGATAAGCCTATTCCTGGGGCTCTTGCACCAGCCCCTTGACACTGCAGTTCAAGCTGGGAGCAAACCAAGGCCGCCCTCCCACCACGGGTTCACTGGATTCCCACAGCCTGGCTGGCTCTGGTTAGTTGTGTTAGTTAGGTTTGGGGGCCTCCCTGGAGTCCCCTGGCAATCATGAGGAAATAAAGACAGTTCCATGCCCCTCCCTCAAGTCCACAGGCCACATGAAGAAAAGTCCAGAACCCTAAACACCCACTTCCAGGGATGAGCAAGCACAAAGAGATGTAATTCCTGTTCCAGCATTAACAGTGCTGTTGCCCAGGGCTACGGCAATTCCCTGGCCAGCCCCCCTCCCACCTCAAGGAGGTGAAGGGGATGGTG